CACACACACACACACACACACACACACACACACAATGTCAAGATAAGATAATGGGTAGAGTGGAGAGACGAAGAGAGACCCAGACGGGTAGACATACAGAGAAAAATGAATATTGACGAAAAAAATAAAATTTTGTTCTGTTGGTGTTTTATGGCGATGTTTGGTAATGATAGTGATGGTTGTAAAAATATAAGAGGGAGAAGGAGAGAGAGAAGGAGAGAGAGAAGGAGAGAGAGAAGGAGAGAGAGAGATGGATGAATGAAAATAGATACCTGACATTGATCACATTGTGATCCGATCACATGAGGTTGACAGTTGCACTGACCATCATTTTGTCGACATTCTAATACAACGTAATCCACGTTAGGACGTTTAGTACCGGGCGCAAAACAGCTACAAACATATTATTCTTTCTTTTTTTGCACATTACATTATTAATTATCATTATTAAATAAGTGATACTGTATGAAAGTAATTTGGATAATAAATGAGTTAACTTTACAATAAAAGAAAAAAAGAAGAAGGGAGAAAGAGAGAGAGAGAGAGAGAGAGAGAAAAAAAAACTTACTTGCATGCTTTGCAATCTGCTTTTGGCTTTAAAAGTGCATCACCCCAATAGCCTGGTTTGCACTCCTCACAATTGAACCCAACTGTATTATAAATGCACTTTTTGCATTCACCAGTCAATGAGTCACAATTTCCGATACTATTCGGATCGATATTTCCACTACATGAACATTCCACACATGATTTCCCCTCACTTGGATTACCAAAGAAACCATCAGCGCAAACATCACATCTAAATTATAATCATTGCGATATTTTAATAAATTTATATTGTTTTAAATATTCGCTGAATTTTATTTATTTATCAAATTAAGAGAAAAAAATTGCTTAAATTGTAAAAAAAATTGAAATGACCAAATTTGCATTTCTAAATGCTTAAAATACTCTCATCCCATAAATGGAATAAACAGATTTGAGCTTTTAAATTTTAAAATACTAGTCCTTTTTGCATTTTTCATTTTAATATCTTAAAAAGAGTACAATTAGAGAAGAAAAGTTTGGAATATAACATTTAGCTGCAGATAAATTTTTGCCGGATAAGAGGAAGTAGCAATCTTGAGTAAATTAAAAAAGTTGAAAGTGTTGAGATGAACTTTTTCCAACAATATCTTATTAGCATAGCGATGGAATTACAGCTTATCATTAGCCATCTCACCTCCTTTACTTTAGAAACTTTAAAAAAAAATTAAAAAAAATATCTTTCTCTTTCGTGATACAATGATAATTGACAAATTTTATGTGAAACCATAAATTTTGAAGAAATTAAAATTCCTTCTCATTTATTTCAATTTGTTCTCATTTGAAATCATCGAGCAGCATTAAATGAATTTACAGAATTTCAATCAGAGAATTGAAATTATGCTCATTAGAAGTGAAAAAGCGGTACACAGCATTGCTTAAACTTTAATTTAGCGCTCAGAAAGTTTGGACTTGTTGTTTTTTTCGAATGTAACCGTATACTGAAATTAAGCAAAATAATCTTTCCTATACCTTCGGCCGGTATATCCGGTTGGACAATCGGTGCAAATAATATCGCCGTCGGTATGCAGAACGCATGGACCATCTTCTGGACACGGACATTTGGTGCAATCATTTGGCGTACCTTGCAGTGCGTTACCGTAGTAACCACGAGTACAACGTTCACACGTATCACCGGCCGTATAATGTTCACAAATACATTCACCTATTATACATTATATTCATTTTTTTAAATCTCTTTTTCCACATCTTTTTCTGATTAAAGTTGAAATACAAAAAAAAAAAGTTGACTTAAAACTATGGCTTAATTTAAAGAATTTAGATGAATGTGAGAAAAAAAGATTTGAAACTTAAAATCTTCACAAACCTGATTCTGGTGCACATGAAGTGGAATGTCCGTGACATTCGCATTTAACACATCGGTCAAATGGGCCACCGAATTTTATTTCACGACGATATCCGGGAGCACATGATTCACAAAATTGTCCAATGAAACCTTCCAAGCAGCTACATGATTCGATCCAATGCGCCTCTTTTGGTTCATCAGCTGGAGTAGCCAAACCAGCTGAGCCCAGGTGAACATTACTCAAAAAGCCAACATCTGCAAACACAGAAAGGAGATGCATTTGAGTCTATCAGGTATAATTTCCTGTATGATGAAAACATTTTAGAAATTTCAATAAAGCAATTCATGCATTTCTGAAGAGAAAAATTATTAAGTTGATAACTTTTCTTGTATGGATGGAAATTTGGAAATTATCATTTTACCTCCAGCTGAATAAGTTCCACGAATTTTGAGGGCGCTAACATTAGAAAGAATTCCAATAAAATCTAATTCATTCAATCGTGGACTCCACTGAAATATCGGATTTGTATGAATCCGAAAACGATATGTTTGCTCGTTTACAGATGGCATTGGATTTTCTTGTGCAAAAATTGGTATGGTTAATTCTTGACCTTCCTGGCCAACAATTAATATATCCCTAAAATATTTTAATTATAGTCAATGTAAAAACAACAAAAGAATGCATTCTTATGATGATAACAGATAATAATCACGTTTTTAAAATTAGAACACATTTTTTGAAATGAAAATGTCAAATTCCATGCAAGAAAAAAACTTAAGCGAGAAAAATTAAAAATTGATTGCTAGACGAAATTATTTCCGCTTTCCCAAAACATGAATACTTTTAAACGGACAATAATGATAACAAAGAATTAATGCAGGAAGGAAGAGATATGAAATGATTTTGAAAATCCTTTATTGATTTAAAAAAAAAAGAAACATATACCTTGCGCTAGGATGTACTTGCGCTTTTTGTACACGTAGTGTAAACCATAAATCCTGATTGTATGACGCTCGTTGATCTCCGGTAAATTGTATTGGTGCAACAAAATATACCGGTGATCCATCAATATCGGAAACAGCGATAGCTTTATCCATTTCAGCCCATTGAATATCTTCCGGTCCACGTAATGACCCAGCACTCCAATGTTCCTTCCCTAATATAATTATATAATTAATTAATCAATTAATTAAAACAAAATGTACTCATTTAAAAAATTGAATGATCATTTATGGAATCAATTGAATTGAGCGGATTTTCAATATGACTACTTTATCTCACTGATACTTTACTTCATAATAATAAAAAGTTAGCGGATTAAAACTTTGATTTAATTAACTTTAATGAAAATGCTAAAATTTAACGAACCATCATCAAAATTACTGCTCACATTCATTGCATAATAACCATCAGCACTTGAACAGATGGACGAATGACCATAGCAAAAACATGGTGTACAACCGAACTGATTATCCAATGATAAATCAAAATATCCAGGCTTACATTTATTGCACTGTCTTCCTTCTACGTTTAATTTACAGCTACAACTACCTGTTTCTGAATCACAAACCGGTTCATTGTTCAATGATCCTGCTTTATCGCATAAACAATTCCTGAAACATTTTCCTACCTTTAACAGATAAGACATTATTAAATGCTCAAATTTTAATACTAAGAGATTTCAAAAAAGTTGCTAAATTTTAAAATATTTTTTACACTTTTTATTGCTACATACTTGCATCCACTAATTGAGAATTCATAATATCCATTCATGCAACGATCACAAAATTGTCCATCCACTCCAGGTTTACATGGACATTGACCGTGTTCATTACATTGCATCCCTAACGATCCAATTTCATTACATTGACACGGAATACAATAATGTTCACCAGGACGACGCCAATTAAAAGGTGCACATTCCTCACAATGTGCTCCCTAAAACAAAAAGCAATTCATAATTTTGGAATTTAATTAAAAAATTTATGCTATTCGTTTATTACAATATGAATATAATTTTTACTTTCCAATACAATACCAATTATTGTTATATTATTCTCAATAATTCTGACATATTATTTTTTGTGTTCAAAAAAAAAAAAAAATTAATTTAACCGCCTATTTCTCATCATCAGTTTATTCATGAAAAATTTTTGATAAGCTATTTCTTATATGTCAAACATATGAATCGATTAACATTTTTTATTCCTTCTAGTGATTATCTTATGTTTTAAATTGAAAACTGAAAAAAATAAAATATGGCTAATTGGAGGGGAAAGGGACAGGTATGGGAAAGGGGAAGGGGACAAAATTATTTAAAACATTATACCTGTGTATTGCCAGCACAATCAATACAATGTCCCCCGCTACCGGTACGTTCGAATAATGTCTGATCAAAGTAGCAACGATTTGATAAATGACTACAGTTGCATGCTAAAAATTACAATCATTAATTGCAATGCATTGAAAATTAAAGGTTATAATGTATTTTCAAAGATATATGATTTCAATAAAAGAATCAATTAATTGCAATATCAATTTTGCTTCCCAAGCTTAAATCTTCTATCCGACTTACCTATTAAATGCTAAAAAAAAAAGCAATGAAATTATTCAGTTCTAAAATGGAATACAACAAAAATGGAAGAAAAAAAAAACTTTATATTTCTAAACATTCAGTATGAAAAAGTAACATAAAAAACAGTTTAGTGATATGATAAAAAGTTACTAAAAACTTTTTCCAGTTTAGTGATATGATAAAAAGTTACTAAAAACTTTTTCTTACTTTCTATAACTGATACCTTCAATTATATTGTAATTCAGCAGAACGAAAAAAAAAAAAATCTCAACAACATATTTCATCTACTATGCCATTAACATTATTATTATCACTTATCATCTATTAACATTATTATTAATCATTATCATCATTATGTCGATGTGAGTATCATTATCATCATACCGTTATTATTATTATTATTATTATTATCAACCAAAACATTACCAATGCATTCATTTGCCTCTTTTGCAGTTCCAACTCGCCACGGTCGATCGTTGTAAAACGGTAAACATTGATCACAATCGGCACCCATTGTATTATGCTCACATCGACATACCAAACGATCTTCACCATCACCTGTTGATTTCACACATTCACTTGCATGTCCGTTACATTTACATCTGCAATATTATTCATCCTAAATATCTCACAAGAAAATGATTGCATACCGAAACCGGAATGATGCTACATTTATCATTGTATAAATATAGATGTATAAATTTGTCAAATCATTACCAAAAAATTTAAACCTGAACTGAATATAATTTCATGATAATTAATTTTCTATCAAATATTTTTTCTTTTGCTCGTTTACCTGCCACCAACAGCAAAATCCGATATAGCATAGTAATAGGATCGTAAGACTTTTGCATCTCGAAATACTTCATCACCAAATGTATTCATTCGTGTTAACATGATCCGTATTTCAGATGCTGTCACCCAATCCTGTAGGTTTTTTTTTTTTCTGATCAAAAAAATTTACAGTTGAGTGGAATATTTTTTTTTTTCCTAAGAAATTCATTCATAACTTAGAAGTAATAATATATGGATAATGTGTTGAAACAATGCGAAATATATCATTAGGAAGTTTGAGTAAACGGAATTGACTGGATTGCAAAAGTGATAGATTAAACAAAAGTAATTTAAACAATCGTAACTTTTTCCAGCAAATTCATGCTTGCCCATAATCAACGTATACTTGAACAAAGAATATTGATCATCTTGGATGACCACATAATCCTGATTGCATGATCAATAATTTAGGCCATTTTTAGTTAATGAAAAAAAAACCTGTAGCGTTTCACTCTCCTCAAAATTTTGACTGCTCGGTCTTCCTTCCAATGTTGAAAATGCAATATTACCACCAGTTAGTGGAGAAATATCAGAGAATTCTCGAGTACATTGTGCTATCGCTTCATTACTCGGTAAAATTGGTGCTTTCTCAGGTAATCCATACGTTGAACGACATGATCCACTTCAATGAAGAAAAAAAAAAGCATTTTCAGTGTACTTGTTTATTTACTAGAAAGTTTTTTAATTATTATTTTTTCTAATTTCATTGTTACAAATGTAAAAAGAAAGGAATTTAATTTGCTTACCTATAATACTGCCATGGAATCCAATCATCAGCGGGATGAGTTTTTTTAAAAATTACAAAACTTTCCGGTCTTGGGCTGACAAATTTCAACCTCACATAGGTAATATCGAATGTTTTCCCAAGACGTAGCGTTAGATTAACACTATTCGGATATTGCATACCTTCGTTCATCGTCTCCGATTGCCACCAAGTTTCATTATTAGCATTATTAAAATCAGTCAAATAAGCAGGAGGATGAGCATATGCCTAAATAAATTGTAATTATTTGATATAAAAAATTAACTTAACAAGCTATGAGAAAGAAAAAAAAATGAATGGAAGGATATTACCTCAACTTTGCTATCACAAATATCACAAACTTTACGTACGCCACTATGACCTGTCTGTACACAATAACTGAAAATTTTTATGTCACAAAAAAAACTGTACACAGTATAGAAGACAAATGTTCCATAATCAAAAGAAAGAGATAACAGTGATTATCATATTATCACTTAGGATAAATTTCTTCTCTTTATTCTGATAAACATATACTCGTATTATCATTTAAGATAAATTTCTCCCCCTTGCACTTCAAATCATTTTTCTTTTAAATCTGTCTCATCAGCGTTGAAAATTTTTTCCTAAATTCCTAAATTTTAAAATTTGTAATTGAAATTTAAATTTAAAATGCATAAATTGACCTCGAAGGCCCATTAAGGCCGCATGTATTAGTTACTTCAACCTGAAGGTTGAATGCAGCATTTATGAAATCTGGAACACATCGCTGTGGAATATTCATATCATCGTAACATGGACTACTTCCTTAAAATAATAATTTATCATTTTCATCGTTTGATCAGTTACGCATTACCTTATCAGCAAATATTACTTATCATCCCTTAATTATAATTCAAAATCTAAACCTGGAATATAATGATTAGGATCAATCGATGGACTCTGCTCTGCTGGTTGTGCTATTACTGTTTCACATATGCAAATTAGAAAATACAGTAATCTTAATACTTCTAAATTTGTTCTATATGGTCGACGATATAATATCCTAAAAATAATATTCTTAAAATATTTAATTTTCAGAACATTTTAAAATTAAAAACAGAAAAGATTACATTTCCAACTTAATTTTATAAATAGATGAAGCAAATTTTTTTCTATACATACTACCATAACAATAAATAATATTAATTGTAATTAAAATTTCACCTTTTCATATGCCGTTCCATTTTGTTTTCGTTTCTATTTTTCTTTTTTTTCTTTTCTTTAAAAAAAAATTTTATCCACCAAAATAGGTGGTAATTAGAATTGAGTACAATAGAAACTTTGTTACTATTCAATAACAAGCAAATATTCGTAACGTTTTATAATACCAAAAAGATGAAAACTTTGCAAAGATCGTTATAAGATGGATTATTAGTGAATTCTGCATAAGAATGCTAATCACAGATTGTTTTTATTGCTCCGTTTCGAAAAGCACTCAATCATCAATAACTAAAGTAATATTAATATATTGGTAAATAATAAACATTTAGTGCTGAAAAAAAAAGCAGTCGTTAGTAACAAAAAAAAAAACGGATTTATTAATGATGGAAAACGAGAAAAGTTACAGTTTGTTTTATTCATCCTATTTTTTAAAAAATGACAGGAGGGGGGAAAAGGAAATTATTCCAATCATTCAAATAAGTAAGCATTTCTCGGTTAACATAAATCAAAAGGATCATTTTAGTGCACTTTTATACGTATTTAATATGTTTAAAATAGCAACGATGTTAATGGAAAATAATTTTACTCTAATATAAACAAAAATTAGAAAAAAATGGACAATTTTTTTTTTTTTTGCAAATATAAACAATGGATAGATTGATGAGATGAATTGGAAATGTTGTAATTTTTGGTTGAATAAACTGTTCGAAAATAACGCGACAGCTATCTAAACATCTCTCAGTAAAATGAAATAATGAAATTTAAGTATCGAGAAAGATCATATGTTTCCCTCTTATGGTATTTAATATGATACTATCCACGCCAGATGTTGAAAAGTAATTTTCAATGTTAGCATAAATTTATTTATTTCATTTAGAAATTTAGATGGAAAAATTGGATTGGTAGTTGAATGAGAAAGTAACTTTTGTACTAATTAACTGATAGTTAATCCAATGAAGAAATAATACGATAAACAAATAG